GAGCGGGGCTGGGGACAGCCCCTCGCATTTAAATACTGGCTTAACCCCTAATCGGGTGGAATAGTGCCAAGGAGGTGGACACGTGCGAGGAGCAGCCGTGGGGGCAGCTCCCCAGCCCGGCTAGAGCCTCTTAAGGCCGGAGTACAATAGGGAGTAGGTTCCAGAAAGGGGGAAGATTACTGGAATGACTGTAAAGTTCTGGCGTGTGAGCAAGGGACCGAGACCCACAAACAGCAGGTTTTTTAACAACCCGGAGAGAGGAAATTTCAGCGTAAAGGAGGAGGGAAGGGGGTTCAAGGGGGCTTAAAGGCAGCACAAAGGGCGAAGCAGGACTTGGACAGCCCCGGAGGCTGAGAAGACCAAGTGGGGTCGGGGGAAAGGCTGTTTTGCGGGGTGTTTTTTACGAACCAGCAGAAAGGACGTTAACCGTGGCTTGAGAAAGGGGAGTTTTAATCCGTTGAAAGAAAATTATAGGCCTACCTGCTTCTGTTGGGGGAAGAAAGATAGGAAGCCTGGCCGAGGATTTGCCTGTTGAATATTACTGGTAGACGTTAATCTCGTGTTTTAAAGTACCTTGTCAGTGGCTTTAAGGAAATCAAATGTGACATTAATCAAATCACACAAATGTAAACATTTATAAGTTAAATCCTAATATTATGCAATTATTTAAATCAAGTCATGTTTTTTCCTCAGTGTCATGTGTCGCTCCCCCTCTCTTCCTCACTTGCTTTGAGTTTTTCGCTAGAGCCTGACGCCTCGTTTTCTGTTATTTCATGTTTTCTTTACGTGGTGGAGAGAAATGCTCGATTTTACCAGTTTTCGAAAAGCAAACGGCAAAATAGAGCCTTACAGTTCAAATGTAACTCACTCCCCCACTGCCAAGCCAATCAGATTAAGAAGTAGCACGTTTAGCATTCATTTTGGGAATTAAATCCTCAGATAATGTGTTTCTTCGGCACGTTTTTTTTTTTTCATGTGAGCATGTGAAATGTTTGACTCCGCGTAGAAACGGGAGAAGGAGGTTCCCTGGGCACGTAACTGTGCGCAAAGCGGTCCACCTCGTCCCCCCTCCCCCCCCGAAAAAAAAAAAAAGCGTTTTTCTCTTGGACTATTAAAAGGTGAAGAGGAACCTTTACAACCTTGGCAGCTTTTTTCCATGCGGGGACGAGCGAAACGCCTACTGCCTTTGCGTCGGGAAGGAGGGCGCCGGGGAGCGGGGCGAGGAAGGGCCGGCGGCGGCCGGGCTCC